TTTTTTTTTTTGTATATGTATGGTTTATATTCAATATATTTTCGATATATGATAAAGAAATTTATCGCGAGACATAATTTTTATGTATAAAATCAATTTATATTTAGCATAAATTGAATTTTGTTGTTGTTGTTGTATGTATGTATGGTTTTCTATTAAGTAATCTGTTATAATATGTTTTTAAACTATATACATATTTTATGTATAAAAGAAAAAAAGAGGAAGATACAATTTTTTATGGAAGACATTTTTTTCATTGCAACATATACTAAATATATACTACATAAACGCAATATATACCAGCCGCGTGAATTAAGGAATTCCAGTTGCGCACATATACTGAATATATACTAACATAAACTCAATATATACCACATGAGAGCTACGCGAATTAAGGAATTCCAGTTGCGCACATATACTGAATATATCCCCCCCTATATATTAATTGAGAACGTGCTGAGCCTATGTGGCAGGCCCGCATGCTTCGGGATCCTATGTGGCAAAAATACATGCTTCGTTATTAGGTTTGGGTAGATTTAGTTTACTTCTAATCCAAATATATTTAGGTTCGGATTATCTATAATATGTTGATTAGGGGTGGGCGCCGGCCGGGACGGTGCTGGATTTGACTTGTCCGGATACCCATCCCACTTTTATGAATACGTCCATGAACGGTCCAGGATGAGGCACCGTCCCTACCAATGTAATACATGGGTGTTGTATTAGTACTAACATAAACTTAATATATACCAATGCGTGAATTAAAGAATTCTAGTTGCGGGAATTAAGGAATTAAATGAGTAAATCACGCCACCAAAGGATAACTGATATGAATAGAGGACGTTACAAAAGGTAACTGATATTTAGACAATCACGTAAATAAAATAGCTTGATTAGGTATATATCCTATTAATTGTTCTAGGAAGATAAAATTGAAAATTCTTTTATTTCATGTAGTATGTGTAAAAATTTCCCTAACATTTTTCTCAATTATTATAGAAAAATATCCCAACTCAACACTATCACTTCCTTTTTGTGGTTGGTGGGAGGCTGGGAGCTGGCACCTATTTTCCATTTCTCTGTCTGAAAAAGATGGCCCAAATTGGGAGACATGCCCAATTTCCAGTTAGTTCACCGGCTCCAAAACAAATTGTCTTTACCTTTCCTCCCTTATATATACACACACACCAAATAAAATCATAACACAATTCAATAATTTCCTCTTCATTTACATACAAAAAAAAATAAAAAAATGAGAATATTATTTCTAAACTCCCTCCAATTTGTCTTCCTCTTTTCTTCACCCCTATTATGGGCCGTGGAGGCCCAAACCCGAACATGGGCCCATCGGGTCGAAACTAATAATGAAGTCATAACCACACTCCAATTCTATTTCCACGACAAGTTGAGCGGTCAAAACCCGAGTGTGGTGAAGATTGCTCAAGCTCCACAAACAAACAGCTCCTCCACACTTTTCGGGATGCTGGTGATGATCGATGACCTGTTGACAGTTGGGCCCGACCCATCATCACGGGCCGTGGGCCGGGCCAGAGGTATGTACGGGTCGGCCGGGAAAACGGGCCTGGACCTCATCATGGTCCTTAATTACGGGTTCACTGACGGAATATATAACGGGAGCTCGTTTAGCTTATTGAGCATAAACCCGGCCTTGCAGCCCGTACGGGAAATGGCTATCGTTGGTGGGACTGGGCTTTTTCGGTTGGGCCGAGGATATGCCTTGGCCCACACGCATTGGATTGATGTGGCCACGGGTGATGCTATCGTGGGCTACAATGTTACAATTGCTACATATGTTTAAGTGGTGAAGAATTATATATGTGTTATTAATTTGTTTTTTTTAAGTAGATTTGGTAAGGAAATTATTGTTGGTTCTTGAATATGAATGTATGGGTTTTTAAGCTTTTTCGTTTTTGTTTTTTTAATTTAATTTAGTTGAGTTTGTTGAACCACTTCACATTAATTGCGCCTTTTTTCAATGCAAAATGGGAGCATATATTCTTGTTGTGGATTATTGTAAGGAAATTGAATGCCACGAATTAAAGATACGAGAGCCTTGAAAAATAATTATACAATATAAATTTTTTGTTAACGTGTATATATGCATAATATTTTGTGTATATTTGTGTATCTTGAAAATTAGTTTATATATATTTGGCCTATGAGGATCATCCATTGAGATGATTTTTCCCTCAAATTATCATGGTAGAGTCATAAAAATTTTCTGATCTCAATATAATATTTTCTGTCCAATCATGGTATCAGAGCCATAAAAATTTTCGGATCTCAATATAATTTTTTCTGTCCAATCTGATGGCATCTTCACGATCAATTGCTATTCTTTTTCTGTTCGGCTGCATCCCACCGAAGAGTGTTGCACGTGTTCCGATCTCATCCCGTTCACGTCCGGGCTTCCGTCCATCGTTCAGCCGCTGGGTATTATTCACGCAACCAAGGTCTGCGATTAATTGCTATTTGGTATTCCAAAGTTTAATTGCAAAGTGCTATTCCAAAGTGTTGTTCACATCCCAAGTGCTGATGTCGCAACTCAACGGCGAGGCAAAGTTTAATTGATATATACCACTGTGAATTGAATAAATTGCGATTGCACTGTGACTTAAAAAAAAAAAAAAAAAATTTGATTCATTCAATCAATTCTCCATGGTTGATTCTTTATGTTTAGTTTCGGTTCCAGTGGTGGCTGCGGTTGTAATTCTGGTGGTGGGCCACCATGATGGAACTCACGGCAAGAGTGGTGCTTGTGCGAATGCGACGTTCTCCGGTGGTATTGATGATTTGTTTGTTTCTGGTTTTAATGATTCTTCCACTGCTAGTAGAGTTTTGAGTGATCGTGATCGTGATCGTCTTGCATTTGGCGGTTTAACCAATAAACAATGGGCTCACTTTGTGTTCTTGGTTAATTCTGCTAAACAAAATAATCCCTTGTCTGGTACGCGTAGTTTATTTGATTGGATGTACGACTGTGGGGCAAACTCATCATATGATAGGGTTCCTTGGAGTTTATTTCTGATTTTCGGGATATTTCCGCTCGTCCTGTTCAATTGCCTAATGATTCCTTGTCCTTGATTATGGCTAGCAAGGCTACTCTTTATGATGTTTTATACGTTCCTAACTTTCGATGCAGCTTTATTTCATTATAGTAATTGATTTACTAACAAATTCTCTGTAATTCAAGATCGCACTTCACAAAGAGTAAGTAGTTGGGGGTCTCTACTTCTTTTGTGTATCTTAAAAATTAGTTAGTTTTCATACTTATCCTCTTGCAAATAATTCTTTCAACCAATGAGTCCTGTTTTCCGTTTTAATACCTCACGGTTTTTGTGGCTCTCTTTTCAATTCAATAATTCTCAACAAATAAAATATGTGTCCAATCCTTCATTTATTTCTTTCCTCAAGCCAAAGTGTGTCAATTATAATTGCCTTTAATTAATCTATCTCCAAATTTGATAAAGTCCACACAAATTGGACATCAATTAAAGGTTCATCCGTGAGTCAAATTAACATGTATCTCCATTCATTGCCTCATATCTACAATATACTTCAAGATTTGAAAATAATAATAAAATATTAAAGTAAATAAATTTATTTAAATAACAAATAAATCAAAAAATATAATGTATGAATAAATTAAATATATAAAAATATACTATTAAATATATAAACATGACTATCAATATCATCACCACGTAATTTTTAATATACGTTCCTGCCTTTTATTTCATATTATTGTCCTATCTGTTGTAAATAATGGACTAACAAATAGTCCTTTGTACAAATTAGACTATGAATAGTACATTGTGTAAAAATGTCTAAGAAATATGAAAAAATTTTGCCTATAAATATGACTCAATTCATGAGCATGTACACATAGAAATACGAGAAAGAAAGAAAGAAGAGAAAGAAATAAAGGAGAGAAAATTTAGTAAAAATTTGTCTCTGGTAGCACGTGCGCTCTACCCGGTCAGAAAGGTAGTAATATATTAATTATATATATATGTGTATATATATAATTAGTATATTTTACTAATATACATATTACCATTATTATTGACAAGTATGGCTATGCCATAGTCAATAATATGTGGTAAGATGATATTATTAAATTATTTATGAATTACTACTGATTATGAACATAATATTATTAATTGTACTTCACACCCACAAAATGGTTTACCCAGTAATGTGGCGGAGAATTTATAACTGCTTATTCTTGTACCCAACGAAAGATTTATCGAGTAGTGTGGGGTGACATTTTTATTTGTTGTATTAGCTAAAATGTTTACTAAGTAACCCGAAAAAATTATATGTTGATATGCATGAATAATAAAATTTTTCATGAATGATATAATTAACAAATACTATATCAATAATGTGTTTTTAAATATAAAATATATAATAACGGCTCTTTTTGCAACGGCTATTTATCAATCTATATATATCACACTTCACTTCATATATTAATACTCATTCCAAAATACTACAATATATTCTCCTCGAGAAAAAAATGTTTAATCTATTATTTGTAATTGCCATTATATTGTTTACTATATACGCTTTGGGAATTTTCACAATGATGTATCATACTTCTGAATTTATATTTTATGTATTAGGTTTTTGTGTAATGTGTTTATTATTTGCTCTTATGTACGTTTTGGAGAATTAATGATTGTATATGTAATTTTTTCAAATCTAAGCATTGATGTTTTATTTTATAGTTATAATGGCAAATCTGGTCAAACTCGAATTTGAAGCTCTTGATATATCTGGAAAAAATTATATTTCATGGACATTGGATGCCGAAATTCATTTGGCTGCAAGAGGGTTGGGAAAATAAATAATCTCCCCAAATAATTCATCAATACAAGATAAAGCTAAGTAATGATATTTTTGAGACATCATTTGAATGAGGCATTGAAAAATGAATATTTAACTGTGAAAGATCCTGCAGATCTCTGGAAAGCCTTGAAAGAAAGGTATGATCACCAGAAAACGGTGATTCTCCCCCGGGATCGTTATGAATGGATGCACTTACGCTTCCAAGATTTCAAAACTTTAAACGTGTACAATTCAGCAATGTTCCGCATTTGCTCGGTATTGAAATTATGCGGGAAAAACATAACTGATTACGATATGCTGGAAAAAACGTTGTCCACATTCCACACTTCAAATGTACTTTTGCAGCAACAATACAGAGCAAAAGGCTTTGTGAAATATTCTGAGTTGATTTCTTGCTTGTTGCTAGCTGAACAAAATACTGAGCTGTTGATGAAAAACCATGAATCTAGACCTACAGGGTCTATTGCGGTCCCTGAAATAAATATTGTAATATCTATACAGGGAACTGGAAATAAAAACAGTCAAACACATGTGCGTGGATATACCTCAGGACGTTGCCGTGGCCGTGGATATGGTCCGTATCGTCAATCCGGCCGAGGCCACAGATTTCACCGAGAGTATAACTCGGGCCGAGAATACAATCGTGAACGAGGCCGTAACTATGTACAAAATTATGAAAGAGGGAGACATTTCTTGCCAAAATTTTAACAGAACAATGTGACGGAGAATAATGATGAAAAGACATGTTATCGATGTGGAAGGAAGGACATTGGGCACGAAATTGTCGTGCTCCGAGACACGTTGTTGATAATTATAACGATTCACAAAAATCAAAAGATAAGAATATAGAAACCAATTTTATGGTTGGGGAATCCTCTGAAAATGATGCAACACGTGTGGATGATGACTATGGCATCGATGACATATTGAAACTGAATTTTGCCGATGCAGTATTTGAAGACAGAGATGGAAATGACCAAGAGAATAATTGATGATCTGTTTTCTGTATGATTGATAAAATTTCTAAGTATGATTGTAATAATGTGTGAAACATCTCTATATGTATTTTGAAATTAATCAATAATATTTGTATTTTTGTTTTAGATCATGGAACAATCCCGAATGCAAAATGGAGATTTATGTCTTGCAGATTGTGCCACTACCCACACTATACTTAAAGACAGAAAATATTTTGTTCACTTAGAAACAATTAAAGCGAAAGTGAACACAATATCAGGATGTGCAAAGATAATTGAGGGGTCTGGAAAGGCCATATTTTTTATGATGGGAGGTACAAAATTTACAGTGAATGATGCGTTATTCTCCCCAAAATCAACAAGAAACTTGTTGAGTTTTAAAGATATCCGAATGAACGGATATCATGTTGAAACAATGAATAAAGGGGGAGATGAATATCTTTGCATTACCTCAAATATTGCAGGAAATAAATGTATTTTGGAGAGGTTACCCGCTTTATCCTCGGGTTTATATTACACCCGCATCAATATAATCGAGGCTTATGCTGCAACCAATTCAAAGTCGAATGAGATGTTTAAACTTTGGCATGATCAACTTGGTCACCCTGGCTAGATAATGATGAGAAGAATTATTGAAAATTCTAATGGCCATCCATTAAAAAGTCAGAGGATATTACAAACACAAAAATGTCGACTAATCCGCCGGCGGGGGCGCATTATTGTAATTTGTTCCAACCCGTTCTTCTTTTTCTTTGAGTAGGAATATTTTGGTTTTTCTCGTTCCTTCTCTTCGATAAGAATAGGGATTTGAAATGATACAAATTCCTCTTCATTCTGTTGTGCTCATCGGAGGGAAAGGTCAAGCTGGCGGAGACCTCAGCTTAGAGTAGCTGCCCGAGAAGGTCAGTGAGGTTCCAACTGTAGTGAAATGAAGGATCTTTCTTAAAGTTTACTATGGTTGGAAGAA